ATAAAGCATATTCCTTAGGAGATAAGGATTGCTACAAATAAAGGGGATGATTATCCTAATCCTATAATGATTAGGATAACTACAACATATGGATAAACACAAGGGAGGATAGTGACTGATGCTTGGCCGCCTGGTATGGTACTGATATGGTCTGGTCCATTTCCGGATATGTCCCAACCACCATCTTCATTTCTTAACATACTCTTAATTCTCTAACACATTTAGGTCTTATGTCTGGTTTTGGTTTTTCGGATATAGAAAATTAATTAATCTGTATTAATTATTTTAGGTCGGTTATTTCGGTTTGGTTTGTCCAGATTAAACACACTACCAATTGATTGTAATTGGTTTTATCATTTGATTTTGTTTGAAACATTTTGGCATTAAGAAGAATAACAAAATGAGTTTGTTGTACGATCTTGCAGGTGGAATCTATTTGCTTGAGATTCACCGTATAGTCCGACCTGGAGGTTTCTGGGTTCTTTCGGGTCCACCAGTGAACTACAACAGACGGTGGCGCGGATGGAACACAACCATGGAAGATCAGAAATCAGACTACAACAAGCTTCAGTCACTTCTAACCTCCATGTGTTTCAAAAAGTACGCACAAAAAGATGACATAGCCGTGTGGCAGAAACTCTCAGACAAATCTTGTTACGACAAAATCGCAAAGAACATGGAAGCTTACCCTCCAAAATGTGACGACAGCATAGAGCCTGACTCCGCTTGGTACACTCCCCTCCGCCCCTGCGTGGTTGCACCGACCGCTAAAGTCAAGAACTCCGGACTCGGGTCGTTACCGAAATGGCCCGAGAGGCTCAACGTGGCACCAGAGAGAATCTCTGATGTACATGGAGGGAGCGCGAGTGGGTTGAAACATGATGATGGTAAGTGGAAGAACAGAGTTAAGCATTACAAGAAAGTGTTACCAGCTCTTGGGACAGACAAGGTGAGGAATGTTATGGATATGAACACGGTTTATGGAGGTTTCGCTGCTGCTCTTGTCAAGGATCCTGTGTGGGTCATGAACGTTGTCTCGTCTTACAGTGCGAATACGCTTCCTGTTGTCTTTGATCGTGGTCTCATCGGAACCTACCACGACTGGTAATACAATCGTTTTCACACAGACTCTGTTCTTATTAATGTGTATGTGAATGATGTTAACGTGAAACTGAACCTGTAGGTGCGAAGCTTTCTCGACGTATCCAAGAACCTATGATCTTCTTCACCTTGACAGCCTTTTCACCCTTGAGAGCCACAGGTACGGTTATATTTCGGTTTTCTATGGTTTACGTTAATTTTGAATCTTATGTTCAGTTTCGTTTTTTTTTTTCTGGTATGCCAAAAAGTAAAACTAATTCAACAAATTTAAGACTAATTTTTGGTTTCAGATCGATTCTATGGTTTGTTCGGACCGGAATAGTTTGGTTTATCCAAATTAAGCACCGGTTAAATTGATTTTTTGATTTGGTTATGTATGTGTTCTGGTATTAATAGTGTGGTAATGTGTGTGAAACAGATGTGAGATGAAATACGTGTTGCTGGAGATGGACCGGATATTGAGACCGGGTGGGTATGCAATAATCAGAGAATCGAGTTATTTCATGGACGCGATCACGACGTTGGCCAAGGGGACGAGGTGGAGTTGTCGGAGAGAGGAGACTGAGTATGCCGTGGAAAGCGAGAAGATTCTTGTTTGCCAGAAGAAGCTTTGGTTTGCGTCTAACCAGACCTCTTGATGAGCCACTGTATCAAAAAAAAAAAAAAAAAACCGAAGAGGCGAAGATATATTGGATTAATCATAGTGTTTCATCAGTCTCCTGTGACGCAGGGACGAAATGCTGTTCTTTAAATCCAAGATATAGCTATAAACAGTTTTCGTTCTTTTTTTTTGTGTTATGATTACTTTATCGGATATAGATGTTATATTTAATTACATTTACAGTTTAATTATGTGTTAAATGTTAAACCGTCTGTCAAACCCCAAAACCAAAGCGGATCGGATATAGATGTTATATTTTGTTACATTCATTAAACCGTCTGTCAAACCCCAAAACCAAAGCGGTCCAGTCAGTTGTTAAATAAGCTTATACTATTTGATATCTCTGATATATATAGTTAATATGTATTCCGAGTTTATAAACAAAAAAAACTCATTGTTAAAAGATGAACAAAAGGACTGATATGCCATAGCTGAGCAGCTTCGGAAACTTCAACCTATACAATGGAACTGAAGACTCAGAGTTATCCAGATCGGACTAGGATATGTAACACTTTGTCCTAAGTTTTTAATCAAAAGATTAGTTTTTTTTGTTAAGAAAAAATAGTATAATATTTAATTCTTTAAACGATCGCCAATGTACAAAGCAAAGTGAGAAGAGTGCCAACTTTAAAATGCGAGAAGAAAAAACAGATTGAATTTTTTGATCTTCTTGTTTTGTAAATTTACGCAGAAGTTTTAATACATGGATGATGATGACAAACAGTGGAACAGTTTTAACTTGGAAAAATTCTCACAAATACAAACAGTTTAAACGGTTACTTTGTGCGGCCTCGCTTCTCCTCGATCCCAGATTGAGAGAAGCGTTTCCTAAGAACTTCAAGAACATCTTCAAACTTCACATCCCTTTTAGACAAAAGCACCATCGCATGGTACAACACATCCGCCATTTCTGATGCTGTTCTTGATACTTCCTCCTTATCCTCAAGCGTTCTGCATAACTCGTCTGCTTCTTCCCTGAACCACAAACATCACAATAAGCTTCATACATAGCTCGATGATCTGTTGGAACATTTGATTGAAGATAGCAGGCAAAAATACCTGATCTTTGAGCAAAGCAGAGCATCATCGGTCAATAACCTCCGAGTCCATGACGGTTTGCCTTCTTGAGGAAGTGTTGATTCTTCTTTCCGCTTCGAAATGATTGATTCTAGTGAATACAATGTGGTTGATGCTAGCTTTTCTCCTGAAGCCTGTGTAAGGTTGAAAATTATTTGATTTTCTTCAGATTTAACTTAATCTATTGTCACAGAAAAAGTAAACGAGATTCCACAAGAGGAAACCTCATTATCGTTTAGTTGATCGAAAACCGATGTGTAGTAACATGTCTCTGCCCCTGTGTGACACGTAGGCCCATCAGGTGTTCCAAGGTAAATTATCTGAGTATTCACAAGCCAACTAAGTTAATAAAACAGTGCATAGAGAGTTTGTCAGATTCTAATAACAATTGTTCAGACAAACATACCGAGTCTCGATCACAGTCAAGATAAACATCAAGGACATTGATGAAGTTATTGGATGTCTCTCCCTTAGTCCATAAGGTAGACCTTGATCGACTGAAGAAAGTAGCTTTCCGAGAAGTGATGGTTGTGGAGAGAGCATCTCTGTTAGCAAATCCTTGCATTAACACCGCTCCAGTGTCAACGTTTTGTGCTATTGCCACAGCTAATCCTTTGTCATCCCATTTTATGCGGTCCAACAAGTTATCTACCTAAACCCAAGAAAACAGGCAAGATAAATACCAGGCGGAGTACAACATAAACAAAAGATTCGAGACAGAAAGTAAAAGATCACAGTTGCAACACAAAACAAAGTAAGCCCTCTACGCAATATCACACTTGCTATGGGAATCATATAAAAATGTCTCAGTGAAGATTATTAAAGTTGTGGGGGACAGATGTAGCCCATGACATCACAGATTGAGATGACCAAGCAAACGATGAACACCTTTAGAGAGAATTTCAGACCAAAAGATGGAAACCATCAAAAGGGCTTTCCTTCTCTCTCTTTTCTTTACCAGTGATGTAACAGTCCAAACCCATGAGTCATAAGGGTAGGAACCTGACCATCTCTGGCCACAGGACAAATGACAGCCGAACATAACAAACAAAAATCCAATTGTAATAACAAAGTGATCAAGTCAGGATAATACATTGCAGGAAATATAGAATCAACAATATGTTTAGGATAAAGTGTGATGAACAGATGTAGCTCAAGTCATCACTAAAAAGCAGACGACCAAGCAAACGATGAGCATCTTAAAAGAGAAACCCAGATCCTTAAGATGGAAACCCATCTTAAAAAACCTTTCATTCCCTCTGTTTCATTTACCCGACATGTAACAGTAACTACTCATGTATTAAAGAGAAGCCACCTGACAATGTCTGGTTCAATCATATCACCTTCTCAACAAAAATAATCAAATTACAGCAACAAAAATCTACCTTAGCTTGAAGAGCAATGTTCTTAGTATCATTAGAAGCGAATACGACGGTGGATCTGCTTCTCTGGTTTGCATCTCTGAGGCACAAGGCTTTGGGGACGAAGCAGCTACTCCTCACCTGCAGAGACTGTGCTAGTGCATTATACGATATCGCCATCAACGAGATGAAAATCGTTGACGATTTATATAGAGGCGGACGAAAATGGCGGCGGGATTATAGAGAAAAAACCCTAATTGTTCTCACCGATGAGAGTGAAGGCCTTTTTAAAGACAAAGCCCATCAGTTTCAAATTAACCAAAAGACCCCCTGTCAAGTAGCTCTAAATTACGAAAGCATCCCTCTTAACTGATTTAATTTCAGTTTCGCCATTCTAATGAATTTTGGGGATCCAAAACCCTAGAAGAAGAAGAAGATCTCGCAGAGTAGGAACATTTAAACTTTTGGGCTTCTGGTCTGTTCTCCGATCATCTCCGGCGTCAATT